ATTTGATAACGATTATACTATAGACATCGATTATACCTATTAACGCAAATATAATTAGATTTCAGTAATAAGCATAATTCGTCCACTGACAATTCCAAAAAATCTTTTGTGCTAACAAGCATCAAGAAAAATTTCATAATTCTCGGCACCATCAGTTCCATTACTGCGGTATTCTCGATTTTCTTTGCATCCAAATATAGTAAGAAAGCAGTATCCTCGGAGAAGAGCTCGTCATTGTCAATGAATGCCCAACATTGCTCTTCTAATTCTTTATAAAATACAATGTATATATTTTTAATGAGAAATCTGTTTTATTATATTTTTTATATTACGCATGAATGTTTAGTTAAATTTCTTTTTACATTTAAAGAACAAAAATGCATTCTATTTTACATTAAAAATTTAAAATACGAGATAAATTCGCACCTTTGATACCCAGATACTGTGCAGCCATGAAAATTTCTAATATATTATCTCTTCGTAAAAGCTGACAACTTTCATTTATTGGACTTATCATCCAGTCATAAATAATAGAAAAGGCCTTGGAAGTCACACTACTCTACATTTTGTGCATATGACAAATTATATTTTTAGAATTTTAAGCTAATTTTATTACCTCTTAGGTTAATATGAAGATATTTATATAAGAATGCTTTGATATAAAGATTTTCCAAAATTTAAGCCAATTTAAAAAAATGTTTTTGAATGCAATTTAGATCTTACGCCAGATAAATCAATATTCTTGCAGTTTTTCTCATCGAAAAATGTGCTGTAACTTTGCAGAACAAGGAGATGGCAGTGAAATTCATCGTGATCAATTCGGATAACACAGTCAGCATTCCTTGGCGGAACAAATAAAGAAATATTTGTTTTAATACAATTTAAGTTTTTAAACTGTTGCTAATAAAACATGTACAATTTAAATTGATCTCTATTAAATAAAATTTATCAGATTAAGTTATTTATTTAAAACATTCAACATTTGCAATGTGATAGAAAGAGAAAAAATTCTTTATTTAAGAATTTTACTTAAAATTCTCTCCCTCTCTTTTTTCTTACTTATAGTTCGTGATGCGTATAGCTAATTCTTGATATAAATCACTCTTTTCTGGAAGTATTATATTATTCCAATCAATTGGTTGTTCATTCGTAAATCCCAATCTGTTTTCCAAGAAGGAAAATAGTTAGTGTTAAAATAAAAAAAACTTTAATTTTCAAAATTGTTATATCCACATAGCATACCCACTTGCTGCAACTTTATGTTACTGTAATATTGTTAAATTGATCTGTGCTGTATGGGTATAAATGTGTTCTTAATTTAATAATTTTTGCAATTCAAATTTAAGAAAACTAACGAGGCAAGTGGTATTTCGTTCATTGGAGGAAGTTGATGAGATGTTGATTGTACCGAATGGTTTTGTTCCATTTCTGATGGATAAAACTTTGTACTTGATTGCGTTCGTGATCTATAACTTCCTTCGATATGCGGTAATTTTTTCTGTGCCTGTTGTCGACCAAGTAATATTTTTAATCAGAGCTAGGATTTAATTGTACATTTCGGCCGATTTTCAGCTTGGTTTCCTGCCCCTCACTTCACCAACCCGCGCGCAGCCTAAATGCCGATCTGGCATGCGGCATTTGCGTGCGGGTAGGTGAAGTGAAGGGCAGAAGCCGAGCTGAAAATCGGCCGAAATATGTAACTAAATCCCAGCTCTGTTTTAGACGGTGTCAAAACAATAACTAGTTTGAGTAAACAATAAAAAGTTTGAATTTTACCTGTAACTGATCAATTGTCGACGGCGTGATGCCAGGCGGGAGATCGATGTATCTTGTTCGATTCGGAGAGTCGAAAACGGATGTGCCAACAACGTTGTTACCTGATCGATTAAGCTCAGCCTTGACGTCGACTTTCGTTTGTCGTGGATCAGCAGCTAAAACGCTGAATTTCTTTGACTCGAATACAACCTAGAACGACTATGCTATGTCTGTTTCGAGACCGATATTTCTGAAGCGGTTTCATTATAACATTTGTTAAAACGAAATCTTTCTTACCTGATTCGGAATGATTTTGAGGTTACCACTGGGTGTAGCTTGGAAGGGAAACACACGACTACGACTATCCGTTTCGTTTCCTTCATTCGCGAATGTTGATTTAATGCTCGTTTTTTTAGGATAAATTTCTATCTGCTTCATCGGCAAGCCTAGATTTGAACAAGATGCTGATTGCTTTCTACCTTTTGGATTCTCTGCTTTCCTACAAGTCGTATTATATATTATTTCCACTATCTGATTCTGTTATTTATCTACTCTCCAAATTATTTACTCTAAATGACAATCCATAGGTTTCGAAGTGACGACTTCAACGAGCGAGCATTCCTTTTTCCGAATTCTTTCTTGTGTAATACATTTACGTGATCTTTGATTTGTTGAGTGTTCGTTGATATGACAAGTAAGTGTTCTCAATTGCGGCCTGACAGGATCTTGGGAAAGCTTGGCTGTGCACTCCAAATCCTTATACTTGGAATTTATTTTTATCTGCCTTTTAAATGATGTCCACCTATTTTGTAGCGGAGATACAAATCGCTCTACTCGATTCGCGTGATAAATGTTTACATTCAAAAAAGGCTGTTGCCTTGATATATGATATCTTTTGGAAGTATTTTTTCGTCGACTTTTTCGTAGTGAATATCTCGGAGACAGAGTTTCCGGAGTCTCTATGATTTTTGACCTTTTTCAACATATTTTTCGAGTAAAATTAATTTATATCATAGTTAAATATTTCTGTTTTTTTAATCAAAATTAAAAAAAATCTTTTCCACTGTATTGATATTATTTACTTACTTATCAGGTGACGGACAATTTATAACTTCCGATCTCGGTACGTGTGAAGTTTTTACTATTTGATTGGATTTCGGAAGTTGCACTAGAGCGTTTGAAGATGATTGAGGAATATTAAATCTACCATGATAAAGCACAATAACGCTGCTTTTACTGTTACCTGTGCATAGGAGATATAATGATCATTACCAATCAATTTACTTCTGGATCGATTAAAAATAAATTATTCCATAACTTCTCTCTCTCTCTCTCTCTCTCTCTCTCTCTCTCTCTCTCCCTCTCCCCCTTCTTTTCCCTCTCCTTCTTCCTTTCTAAATTGATCTCTAAAGAAATCTAGCTTTAACAATTACCCAGTCAGAAATAATAATGGAATCGACATCGATTTAATGCTTTCGACATCGAATTGATATCGATTCGATATCGATTCCATTATTATTTCTGACTAACTCACGTTTCTTGCTGTTCTGTCGAATAGCCCTTACTATCCGTGGTGTACTGCTTTGCTTCCTGTTATCAACAAGATAGGCAATAAATACAATTAAAACTTGTGCCTCAAAACATTAAGCAACTATGAATAAAAATATATAATTGGTTTTACTTTTCAAATTACCAAATTTTTTCGTTAAATTTATTTTTCCGTTCAAATTTTTCACCATCACTCGACTGCTTTCCTTTGACGATTACTCCTTGTGGCTATGCAAAAACGTTCGTCCCCCCAAAAATAATAATGTATCTTTAAATTCATACCTTCATTATAATATCAGAGAATAAATTTATATTAATCCAGAATTTCTTTATAAGACGCTAAACATAGGATTTTTATAAATTTAAATGCATTAAAAATATATTACATCCTAGATGATTAAAATTAGATTTTAACTGACAATTACAAATGACAATGTCCCTAATATCAACATACTGTTGATACAAAAAAAGATTAATCCAAAACATTCTATAATTTATAATTACTTCGTATTACGCCTCATACCTTTACCTCATATCTTTTCAGACAGACATATGATGCAGAAGATTCAATATTTGAGATACGTTGTGGTGTAGCAACGTGGTCAACTTCTCCAGTAACTAAAATTTATCTCCACAAAATAATATGAATGTAAAAAATGTATAATAACAAGTTTGAATAATTTTGTTAAAATTGTTTCATACAAAACATTTTTATTAAATATCATTTTATCTTTTTTTTGTCCTTTTTTATTAAATATTTAGAACTTAAATATTTAGATTTTATTAACACTTACATCACTTACATAATTTTGTTTCAGTAAATCGATTATTAGTAACTGGATCTTGATGTAATGATGTTGATGATAATTTGAGATTTGATTGATCGTTTTTTTCGTTTTTTGATAGTTGACAAGCAAGTCTCAATTTTCGATAAGATTGTGTTACTCTTGAAAGATATAAAATCAGTAATTATACAGTTTTTATAAGATATAAATGTGTGGATCATGATTAAAAGCAAATATTACTTTGGATTTGGTAGATCAAGATCCGATGAAAAATCGTCTTCAGTAGAAGTATCAAACTGCTTCTGCATATTCAATTCAATATATTATATGCGTGTGAGATATATAATATACAATATATATTTTTGTATAAACAAGATTAAAACACCATATTGGTTAATTGTATTAAACTTGCGCTATACTCACATCATAACGCACGAAGCGTCTTCGCATGATACGTGTCACGTTTAAGGTATAAGTCGCGAAATTCGCATAATAACGACGAAACGCTTCTTTTTCGTCCCTGTCACGTGAAATAAAAAATAATAAAAATATAAATATTATATAAATTAATGCTGTGACATTTAAAATGTACGGGACATTTGCAAAAGTGCGCGTGTCTAGAAAGGCCTTAGATACATAACAGCTAACAGATGAATGAGATGAACAAGAGAATATCCTATTTCGTTTCCAAAATTTAAAAAAAAAACTGCATAATTTGAATCATGGTGGTGGAAGAATTATGGTAGTTTTTTCCACCGTGATTCTTCCATCTGACTCGAATAGACTATACCTTGAACGTGACAGGTTTCGCGCATTATGATGTGAGTACAGTGCAAGTTTAATACAATTAATCATATGATGATGTTTTAATCTTGTTTATACAGTTGGAGTATAATAAATAATATAATAAATAATATAATAAATAATATAATAAATAATAATACAGTTAAATTATAATAATTAAGTTTGTTCTTTATTATTGCACTAGAACTTCCCTTCATCTCACTTTCGCTAAATATCAAACATATATTTTACTTCCTTTTATCTCACTTTAAATTATAATTCAATTATAAGCGGACTAAGAATATATATAATAAAATTCTCATAATATTTTTATTATTATAAGAACATTATATATATTTACTATCTTTTGTATAAAGATATTTTCTTTCTTGATTTCTAATATATTTAATATAAACACCTACACACGCGCGCACGCGCACGCACACACACACACACACACACACACACACACACATACACAGAAAGAGCATGTTACAAATCATCTTAAATTTTTCAATTCTTTACTCTTAGAATAAATTAAAACATTTCAATAAGTTTAAAGAAGCAATTTCGAGAATATAAAGAAATACGGAATTTTCATTAGTTGTATTAAGTGAAAGAAAGAAATTGTTACAGACAAAAATTTATTTAAGGATAATAAGATCGAACACCATATCTTGTAATTAAAAGATATGACATTCGATCTGTTATACCCGTAGAAATGTTGAGGTCACGTGAAACAATGGGAAGTATTTCAAAGTAAAAGCTTAGACTGAAGAGACATGAAGCTTGTGTAGTTGTCTGACGATTAAACGGCGACTATAAGCGAGCAATTAAAATAATTTTACGATGGTACTGAACAAACGCTCACAGAGAGAATTATTAAAGGCAATTGGTGTATGCGAAAAGATGAAATGATGAAAGCTTCCTGTGAATTCTCTCTGAACATATTCTTCTCCTACAATTCTATTGATAAGCGTGAAATGCAGTTCTTCGAAGGACGGAATTACAGGATCAATAAAATCCTCCTGTCGTGTGTTGGACAATGGCCATATCAAACGAACAGAAGTAGCAATGCTATTATTATCATTATAGTGTCTTTAGCTGGCACGCAATTTATCGCCAAGGTATGACAATGCAACACGGTTAAGTTTACGATATACAATCATATGATCATATGATCAAAATTTTATCAATCCTTTTTTTATAGAAACAAACCCAGCCAACATTATGTCCAAAATGCGGACATAAGATGTCTCGAAAAACGTCCTGTAAATAAAATGTCTCAACATCTTTAAGACGTCTTATGTCCGCATTTTGTAACGTTGTTTGGGAAAAATTATTTATTGGATATGACTATTTTGTTCTGCATTCCATTATATTTTATATATTGTATATTGTATAATTTAATATACAATATTTAAATGCTATGTATGCTTCGTATTTATAATTTCACGGTTCAAGCATAGATATGTGGTTTATTCTCCATTGATAACATCGATTTGTTCATCGATTCTCTTTCACCATTGGTAGTCGATATAGGATGTGGAGTAAAATTAATCACTTGCGTATTAAAAGCAACAGAGGTATGTAAACACGTTGCGATATATATTTCAGTTGTCAAAATATTTTCAGCATACATCCGTTTGCAGAGGCATTTGGATCTTTTTAAAATTTATGAAATATGCGAGAAAGAGCTAATTTAAGTTACGTGTACAATTAGATAATTATTATACAATAATTTAGCAAAAATTACAATTTTCAGTTATAATAAAAATTTTTAATTTAAATCTTCTTTAAGATAAAATTTAATTCTAGATAAGGGCACTTTTTGACCAAATACAATGCGATTGGCAACTATTAATAACATCTTCACAAATCAAGATTCTTAATAATTACGCACAAAATGGACGAACATTTACGATCATATACGCGAGTAAGCATAGTATGCTATAAAGAAAAAAATCCTATGAAAGATTTTTTAAGTTCCTTCTAAAAAATTTTTTTTTTTTTCTAACGATTATATTATAGTAACAGTAATATACACATCATATGTTTCTTTATTACAGTAAAATCTATTTTAAGTTCTACATAGTAAGAATTTAAATGACTTTTATTTTGTAGCAGAAATAAAGACTGATAAAAATGATTAAGAATACTTGAATCTTTAGGTGCTTTTTATTCTGCATTGGTGTTATTTATGTTAGCACCATTGCAATCGTTGTTACTGGATTCTTCTTCAAATGATACAACTCGATTATTATTACATCAAGTTGAGTATTATATCGATATGGAAAAATACTATTTACCAATCTTAATTCACGGATACACTACCGCGGTCATTTGTGTGAGCATAGCCATCGCAGCAGATACAATGTATGTAATAGTAGTACAGCATGTTTGCGGACTATTTATGATTATTGGGTAAGATAATCTTATAACATACTCATTTTATTCATATATTTTTAAAACATATTTAATCTGAGTTGAGAGAGTTTATATGAATAACCCAGATAGCAACGTGTCTATTTTGTTACTGGCATGTTGCTTGCTAAGTATGTGTTGCTATCAGAATTGCAATAATTAAGTCCTCATTTGTTGGCAACTTGATGCCTTTACGATAACATTGGATAGCAATTTGCTGACAACTTTAAAATCAAAAGTCATCAAAATTCGTACTATTGCCATCATGTTACCGTAACAATATGCAACATCATACAATGTTATCATATTGCTGGCAACGCAAGATAACACATTGACGCAGCTATCTTGCTGTTAAACTGTTGACAATCCTTAATATACACATTGTTGTATGTATGTTACTACAATGTCGGTATATTCGAAATCGTTGAAGACAAATCTACGACAAGTTGCCAGCATCATAAGCAATCACAGATTTGTGCGATTTTGCTAAGACACGCTTTGCTATCTGGGAAGTAGTTTAAAAACTTGTATATCAATTGCATCAGGCAACAACTGGAAAATATAGTAAAAGAGGGTAATCTAGAAATCAATTTTAATCCATCTATAACAGAGGATAAACCGTATGAAAATATTGTAGGCAGCATTCATGCACACAAGAGAGCTTTAAGGTGCTGTGATATAGAGAATATATATTATTATTACAATAGATATTATGTAATTTTACTTTTGCATATATATCTGTACATACAGTTATTTATTTTTATATAAATTATTATTTATATTGAATTTATATACAATTACTATACATTAATGTATATACAATATTATATATACTCAAACAATATTGTATATTCATTGTATTCATATAATTATATGACGCATATTCCTAGATAAATACACGTACATAAATAACACTTAATTAAAATATTATGTTTTAATTTACATAAAAGATTTGCCAGTCTCATTGAAGCAGTATTTAGTCAAATGTTCCTTGTAGTAGCAGGTTTCAATATGCTTATTATAAGTATGACAGGTGTTACGGTATGTCAACTAAATCATTCGTTCTTATAATAATGTTATTGCATGAATTAATATTAATGAATTACAATTTACATATTAATAAATTATTAATATGTAAAATTAATTGCTTAATCATTACTTCAAGATCTATCTTAATGTTATTAAAAAATTAAAGTACTTTAATAACTAATTTAGTAATGTTAATTATAAAAAGATTTAAAATCAAAAATATTACTTGTTCTTTTATAATTACAACATTCAATCTTCTCAGGCAGTTTCAAATATGGACAAACCAGAAGAGTGTTTAAGGCAAATAACATTTTCATGCGCATTGTTAGTGCATCTATTTTTCGAGAGTTTTCAAGCGCAACGTCTAATCGACCATAGCACATATATTCATACTAGTTTGTATGTATAAATTCAGTTTTATTTTTTAGAAAATCTTAAATGTACTTTTGTAGAACATATATCTAACATATTAATAATATATATATATATATACATTATAAAAGCAAACTTATAAAGCAATATAAAAAATTTTGTAATAAATTTAATAAAATCCTTGATAAAACACTTATCTGATAAAACGATCAAAATCCATTTGTACTTATTTTCAAACTAAATAAAAAAAAAAACAAAAATTCTACTAACTAAAAATTAACTTTCAAAATATGCTCTAAAAATAATATAAAATATTGTATTTTGTTTGCAGAATGAATATAGCATGGTATCAAACTTCGTCTCGAACAAGGAAAATTTTAATTTTTATGTTAATGAAGACACGAGAACCTTGTGTATTAACGGCAGGAAAAATGTTTGTCATATCTATGGATACTTTCTCTACGGTAAGACACATATTCTAATTACATATATACGTATAATGTATGTATATAAAATCTTGATACATACATATACATATATATACAAGAATATTATCTTAAAATCATCTAAAAAACTGTTTTAAACCTTCAGTCAAATACACACACACACACACACACACACACGCACACGCTATTTATCGTATATAACTAAAGATTTAAAACGGCCTTTTAGGCGGTTTTAAAATAATTTTACGCGAAATTTCTAATTAATTATGCGTTTAATACACGAGGCGTACATATGTTGATTCATAGAAAAAAAATCAAATCAGGGAAGAATGATTATATTGATAATTTATAAATGAGTAATTGAGCAATACAATTTTTATTTTTAATATTATTTATTTATTCTCTTTCAAGATCGTACGTACATCAGTGTCATATTTTACAATGTTGCGATCAGCGAAAAATTAACGAAAAATTAACTGTTCGTAAGCTGATATTGCGTATTTAAATTTAAAATATAATAATATGTACAATATAAATGATTGGTTGCAATATGTTTTAACTAAGGAAAGTTTAGAATAAATACTGACAACACAGTTATAACATTTTGTGAGGTCCGACATTAAACATTGGTACTTTCCACCTTAAAAATTTTATTTCTACGGGTGCACAAGGCATTCCTACATTTGTTCGTGTTTTATGTGGATTAAATTTTACACCATATTCAGGTATGCCATTCCCAATTATTTCCAGAAACCTAAATAAAAATTGATATATAAGATTTTACAATTTATTTTGTGCATGCGTATGTGCACGCGCGCATACATGTTTAATAATATAAACAAGATTATTGAAATTACTTTGCTGCATGATGTTCATTTTCAGTAAAATATAACATATCATCAACATATTTAACTAAAAGACCATTGTTCGTATATTCAGATAATATGTCGTTAATCATGTGTTGATAATATATATCAGATAAAATCGAAGATACTGATAAACCTTGTGGCACACCAGCTTTTATTGAACGTATTTGACCATTTAATTTAACCTACGATAAAAATATTATTTAATATTAATTGCAATTATTACTTTCATGTATATTTGTTTTACCTTTTGTTGAAATATTAATTCATACAGCTTAGAAGTGACCCATATTTTTTTAAGTATTTTGGGTTTTTCTATGCTTGGATCTATATGTTTCGATATTAATTTTTTCAGGTGATTAGATATAATCTGCACTGTATATTTGTATATCTTATTTCGCCTTTTCTTAGGTTTGTTTAGGGTACAAAGTTGTACAGCAATATAACCTTCTAGTTCTCGACAATACATATGAATAATATTATATAATTTTTCTAAAACAGATTAATAAAATACTTGATAACAAATGTATTAAATGTGATAAACAATAAATTAAATAATATACCTTGTAATATCGAACCAAATGCATCTTTAATATCACATTGAACAAAATATAAATGATTCTCAGATCTTGGTGTTAAAAAACTTCGAATTGCATGTTTGCAGCCTGCTATAGTTGGAATCCCATTTTCATTAAAGTATGTGATATATAATTGTTGAAGAAATCTTAAAATAACATCAATTTTATCATACTTTACTTTAGTATCATGCCTAAAATTGTAAATATATATGTATACATATATACACACACACACATACACACACACACAACACTTCATTAATATTTATATTTATTTGTAGCATGAGGGAACAACATTGAAGGAATGTTAGAACAAATTTTTATGTACTTTGTCAAATATAATGGTCTCAAACCAGAAGAACTTGGAATAAATTTATATGTCCCAGTAATTCGTTTCTTATTTGACGTCATATATGGCACAAGACTACCAGATTTCTCCTTTTCTTTTATATATTCATTTTGCATATTGCACCAATCATCTTTTATGATGTAAACCCATTTCTTTCTAATTGCTATCAAGACCACATATTTATGTAAAATCTTTATGATATATTGTGCAAAAAACCAATGTAATAGCTTCAGTATAATTATCCATTGTATTGTTACATCATCAACTGAATGTAACCAATTAATTTTGGAAATCTAGAAAAGAAAATAATGCAGAAAATATTGGAAAATTTTATGAAATTGATAAAAAAAATGACAATGGTCTTAACAAGATCAAAATTTTTTATAATTTTTTTAAACTTTCAAACATACATCCAACTTCCTGAATAATAGTTCGACAACTAGCGAAGCCCCAGTGACAACTGTTTTTCGTACAGTTCTTTTGAAAGCACTCGTTATTAATATTTGATTTGGAACTGTCTTTAAGAGACGAGATATTATTTTCTTCAAAACTTTTTGATTTTTTAAGGTGCCAAATAATTCAAGAGGAACATTTTCATATACCAGCAAACCAAAGAAAGATTGTAGTGAATGGACATGAATTTGATGCTTGAATTTTAAGAGTGGATACTGTTTTCTATCTTTATCTATTATACATTTCAACTTATCAAAATAATTATATTTATTATGCCGGTTTTTGAATAATATCATTATTGGTGATAAAGCAGGAATAACGCTATTTAAATTAACGTTTCTATAACATTCTGTAAGTCCAATATCTGTACTTAGAATTTTGTAACACATATCCTGTCCTGTATCCTTGCTTTCTAAAATAGAATATTTGGAAATTTTTGCCGTAGTACGATTTCCCTTTCGTATTTTACATCTAGACTGAAACAATTTCACTCTAGAATTATATGCTTGAAGTGGAATAGGACATGTAACTTTTGTCACTGCTTTTGACTTTGGACATACGTTTCTACGTTTCTTATTCCATCTTTTCCTATATGAAATATATCTATTTCTGAAAAAGAAAAAAAATTGATATTTGAAGAAAAAAAAAATAATAAAAAATAATATACAAAATTTTTAAATCCTGATTCTGCATATAGTGCTATTATGCTACTTTTCAAAAAGAAAATTAATATATTAAAGGAAAAATATTTAAAAAAAAAATAATAGTAACCTGTAATTATTCGTAAAAGATAGTGTGTCACAATTGCGAATCATTTGTATTAGAAACTTTTAAGTGTTCCAACATAAGAATTATGATATCGGAGAGTGATAAGGAACGATGCAATATATATATATATGTAAATGTACTATACAAAGAGAAACTTGAGAGAGAACACGAGGGCCTTTTTCTTGTAATCGCAAAATACCCCTCGCACTTACTGCCCTCTGAAGAAGTGGATGTAAACTACAAAACATATTCACTTAAGGCCAGTTTCATCAACGCCAGTTAGCTTAATCGGCCTTTGACTGACCAATCGCGTTCGATGAAACAAAAGGTTACTGGCTCTCCAATTGCTTCATGCCAACTGTTACACAATGATAAGATGCACCTGAAGAGTGCGCTGGTGATGCAATATTCTCAATTTAGCTTGAATGTGATCCTTCTCAGGTTTTTTTCTGATACAATTGAAGGAGGAGGAGAGCGTATTTTGAGAAATGTAAAATACATAACCTGTACGAAACAAATAGTAATTTATATCTGATAAGAAGAAGAAGCAAATTAATAGGCATGAAAGAGTTTTTTCTCTTACACTTTTGTACGATCTCCTAACGATCTCTTAACGAACATCTCTTAGAATTTATTTAGTATCTTTACTAGTGTATGTTTGGAATATAGGTTATATTTGATATTTGTGGAGTTTTTATATTTCTTAATAAGTTATTTGTCTTTACTCAGAGATATTGTAATTGCCGCAATATCTCATTACATGAATTCTCTTATTAGGAAACATTCCTTTCTAAATAATTATTGTGCTACCATTCTGCCATAATGTTGCAAAAAGTACATAGGTTACTACGTATCACGGTGAGTATTTTTATAAATATAAAAATATATTCAACGCAAAAAATGATTATTTTGAAATAATCTCTTTGTGAAAATTGACAAATTAAATCAGCCTCCTTTTTTTCTTTCTTTAACAGAATTATGGACACAAAGTAAGCAGTAGATATTTAAACTTTGTTCCAATTGTAGTAGAACAAAGTGGACGCGGTGAACGTGCATATGACATTTATTCGCGTCTCCTAAAAGAAAGGATTATTTGTCTTATGGGTCCAGTACGATGCACAACTTTTTTATTGTCCTATTTACACATTAATTTATAATTTTATAGAAATAAAGTCAATCGTCTTTATAGGTCACAGATGTTGTAGCTTCTGCAGTAATTGCTCAACTTCTTTTTCTTCAGTCGGAAAGCAGTAAAAATCCGATTCACTTATATATTAATTCACCTGGTGGAAGTGTAACAGCAGGACTTGGAATATATGACACTATGCAATATGTTCTTCCACCTATTTCTACATGGTGTGTAGGTCAAGCATGTTCTATGGCAAGTCTACTTTTAGCAGCTGGAACCAAAGGTATGCGTCATTCTTTACCAAATGCTAGAATCATGATACATCAACCATCAGGAGGTGTACAAGGACAAGCTACAGATATTCAGATACAAGCTACAGAAATTCTGAAACTCAAGCAACAGATCAATGAACTATATGTAAAACATACTGGACAGAATTTAGAAGAAATAGGTATGCCTACCATATCATATCTAAGCTTTACCATATAAAATTTCTTTTATAAAAATCATATTGCAGCAAAGAGTATGGAGAGAGATAATTTTATGAGCCCAACACAAGCTAAAGAGTTTGGAATTATAGATAAAGTATTGGCCCATCCTATGCAAGAAGAAATTGTAGAAACAGCGATGGAGAAAAAGGATAATGTATCGAAAAAACCTTAGTACTACTGAATAGGAAGGATACATGGGTTCCATTTTATTGGTATGTTGTAATAAATTCATTAAAAAGATGTATCATTATTTAATAATAATAAACTATTTATAAAACAATTATTATATTGTCCTATTCAATTGAAAATGATATATTCACTTTCAAATTGTCATATATAAAACATACTAATTTATAACAGCAATATGAATGAGTATTAAAATGATATATTTCAGAGTATATCTTCAACAAGCGTGATATATTGATATAAAAGCAAGCGTCCAACTTGCAAAATATTAGGTAAAAAATTTTTTCAGCCAATGGATATCATATCATATATTATGGTATACTAATAGTTTGTTTTTGTTTATATCTCATAACATAAGTTGTTTATAAAATTTATATTCCCAGCATTCTTATAAATCATAAAAATGAATTACATCATTTATATATATATATATATATCTGCCCTATTTGTTTGATCGTTATCTTAAAATTTTTATCTTAAAAATGCTGTTAATTTATAGTTTATAGTTATTATTGTGAATATCACACGCGCGCGCGCGCGCACACACACACATTTCATACCCTTTTTCAATTCCAAATACATTGCGAAATTATATCTGTCGATCTTCGACAAACTACTCTGATGATTAAGCAGAAATCTTACGAAATATAGATAATGGAAGACAAAGCCTTGCGTCCCAAAATATATACACATACTAGTAAAATGTAATATATAAAAATGCGAGTGTTCTATATTGTGTGCACACAGTATATCTTTATGATGCTTAATGATGATATTTATATATACTTAGTATTTCTATATAATTCAAAATATCCCATTTAAGATCTATTATCACCAGAAATGCTTTATAAAAAAAAAGCTCTATGAAAAGATACGCTTTATAAAAAGGACGGAAGTTGTTTTCGTTGCCATAAAGTTACGTCCTAAAAAAAATTAAGTAAAACGGTCTTTATAAAATAATCTTAAAAAAAAAAAAAACTATTTTTTGTCTTTTCTTTCAAAACTTATTCCTTGCAAAAGACCAGTCTTGTACATTATTTATTTTAGTGACGTTCACATTAGAATTCACTGCGGACAAACCTGCGCATGTGCGAGCATTAGTATATCTTTCTTTTCTTTTGGAAATCTAAGTTCTCGTCCCGCTAATCGCGCAGTTTCAAGTTCACGCTCGGCTAAGGCCAATTCCATTGCCACGATCCCACCACCACTTTCGTGTTCTCTAGCAACCCAGTCTAATGCCATTTGGCTACGCATATCGTCGTCTAATGCTCGATGACTATAATGAGCGACTACTTCCTGCCTGCTGCACTGCCTCTCTCTCATGGCTTTTAAAGAGCCATTCCAATGAAGCAATTGGAAAACTGTCATTAACTCTTGGAATTCCAACATTGTTCTTCCACGATTGCATTCCAACATAAAACGGAACGCACCTATACCTGTATTTGGATCTTCTTTCTCATCACCGCTTCCCTGAAAGCACATGCATTTAAGCATTGTTCCTAATTCAATGTAATAAATAACTTTTCATATTTTATTTACTTGTGCTTGGCTACCAACTCCGTTGGACGTTGCTGAAGGTTTGGCAAAACTAGCCCTTGCCTCTGCAACAGCTTTTTCAATAAAATCATCAGTAATCTTTCGCGATGGATGTTCATTGAATACAGAATTCATCAGTGCAATTTTTGCAGCCGATCTACGTGCTTCTGCCTTTGTGGGACAGTTTTGAAAACTCCCGAAACACGATCCTCCAGGAAGTGTTACATAACAAACATAAGGTGGATTGGCACCAGGAACAGATTCATAAATAACTAATGCACCATTTCTCAATTCTGTTCCTCTAGCTTGTTTCATCTGCCAAAATTCTTGCAATGCTTCTACGACATTTACTGTATATATATAAGAAAAAAAAATATATATATATATATACAAAAGTATACAAAATTAAAAGTAATCAAACAATTAATAAAATTAAACTAATAATAGGAAAGATTTCTTTATAATATACCTCTGCCATAACCTTGACTGTGTTTTGCAAAGCTATTGACAACTGCATCTACAGCCTCTCTTAAAACTTGCTTGGCACGGGCATCCACCAGTCCACCTGTGACCCCCATATTTTCAGTAACACGTGATTTTGTCTTAACTGGCATCATGCCTTGCATTACTCAAAAACTTGCATTTATTTACTCTGCAAAAATATAGCATCTCTTTAGTGTTATTTCTAATCTCCAAATCACAATAGTAAACATAGTAAAGTGTCTTTAAAATTGTTGATATTTTATAGAATATTACTCAGTGTGTTGCATGTATAAGAGTGTAAAAATTATTTCAAGATTTCTAATAAATGGAGCATGTGTTAATCAAGTTGTATACGAATTTGTAATTAACGGAAACAAGATTTTGTTCTTTTACGAATTCACCGACACCGTCCACTCGTTGACACTCGCATTCATCGCACTCATCGCACTCACGATCGGGATTAGGTCAGCGTTCGCGCTCGTCGATCACAATATTCACGAATTAACGATCGCGATGACGATCACGACCACGCGTGCAATACGTCTCGTTTACTCTGATTTACTCACCGAAGAATCGGCAAGACAATGCTGTGTGCACGCACACCGTGAACACCGTCTTCCTGATGACCGTCGACCGTCGACCGTCGGCTCGACGAGTCAGACGAGTGTGTGTCGGATGCTGCGCGACAACGGGAACGGAAAGACAACGGTGGCATCGGGCGTGGGAAGGAACCCAGGAGGTCTGGACCGCCGGACCGGACAGAGAGACGTCAGAGACCCGGATGCCCAGGAATTCGCGTAAATTACTCTCCAATTCGATCAGGGCACTGCACCGTCCATCGAACCTGACCGAACTGAGCTGAGCAGTGAGGCCAGTGAGCGCCGCAGGATCAAATTGCAAGACACTCATATAACGCGTTTAATGGCCCCGGACTCCGGACCGCTGACGATTTCCAGAAAACCAGGGCCGTGCAACTCGCATGGCCGCCCCGCGCCACCCGAGCTCCATTCAATTCCCCAGATTTCCTTCTTTGTCAGTTGTGTATCAGTTTCATCCAGTTTCCCTTTGTCGTAAACTCAAGATTTGCTAGCTACGTTATATTTTTTCTTTACTTTTTTCTTACGCAACGCATGAAATTTAATCGCACTGTGTCAAGAATTGCTTTCATTATCAATTAAATAGCAGTAAAACTTTTCATACGCGACTTTCATATGCGAACCATTATAGAGAAAGTCTGTAAAAAATGTTTTTTTTTTTTATTATTTACTTATTATTAGGAAATATAAAGATTATGAGAAAATGACATGCAATCTCAGAGACAGTAACACGTACCTTTACTGCTTTAAATTAAGTATTTTAATTAATAAATAAATCGCGCGTATGTTGCGTCTGACGTGTGATTGCTTGCTCAATACAAGAAGAAGAAGAAGTAGAAGATATTCTCCTGGAAGTAAAATTGCGAAAAGTCACGTCAATTCTATCTTATTCCGCTCCTCTCATCATCGGTTTCTCCGCTATTCTCCGTGTAATACATATATAGATGCGTGTAGATTATACGCACACTAATGTAAGACTTGCGAGTGTAAATTCCAAGTGCATTATCGGAGCAACTTGGAGCAACTTGAACAACTTGAAATCTAGACGACTAGATTTCTCGCGAGACGACTCAATCACAAGTGCGCCGTATCGCGATCGCTTTTTGAAAATCTAAAGCACCTGTAGGTAAAACAGCAGACATCGTAACGCGCTAAATTCAAACGTGTCTTGTCTTAAGGATTAATAAATAATTTAAGACGTTAAGAAATAATAGATAATAAATTTGCTGACGTATCTTGACGATTTATAATAAACGATAAGGAGAAAGCATTACTTTCGCGAATAAATTATGACTTTGTTTATAACGTGATGTATAATATTTCTCCTTATAAATATTTCTTTCAATTTATACATCTGTGTCAATCTACGAAAGACAAGATAACTAGACAAGATATATATATATATATATTAACTATTATATATTTATTAAAATAAAAAGTGTTGAAGTTTGAATCCTGAAATCATGATACAATATACATATACACAGACTGGAACCAAAGTATATAATTAACGTTCTGCAAAACACAATCCGACACGTAATCTTATCGTCAATACTATAACATTGTACATACACGTGTTATTTTATATTATTACATTTATATTACTGAGCGGAAAATTATAATATTGATGTAATGTTATTATATTCGTTTGTATTCTGTGTATTTAATTTGGACTGCTTTTCTCACTGTTTATATCTCACTATTTTATAGACATTCCATTGTTGCACATCTGTTTAAAAAGAAAGATATCTGCAATTTTCTTGTCGATCGCATAACACGTGAGGTATACATTGTCAGTGTCGTAGGCGCGTGATAATTTGATGAATTTGCGCGGAAAAAGTGTGAAAACCACCTCGACATTCTCGAGGCGTAGGCAGGTAATGGCACTAATGGCGCGTTGGATACGTGGCAAGACACAAGTCTCTCGTTTGGTACGGCCTCCTACGGCCTACGGAAGTAGGAAAAGCCCGCGTCGCGTCGCGCCGCGCCAACCGCGCCGATTTATGTATGGCGATTTACGCGCGCACATTTCCCGCGGCGGCCGCGATGCAATCGTCGTGTATTGCTCTGCGCACCACTGCACACTTGCACTGACTTGCACGCGAGTAGGTGTGCGTACGGTGGATCAGCTGAGCGCCAGCTGTGCTGCGGGCCCCGACCAATCGGTGACGAGAATAGCAGCGCGGCGTGGCGCCCATCGCCTCGGCCGTCGGCGTTCCCGCGAAACGCCAATTTACAGGCGCCAGTTCGCTCCGTTCCGCGTCACGGCAGAAACGTGTTCGCGTTCGCGTCTTCCGTCATTTGCCGCGCGCGAACAACCATAATAAGCTAATCCGCACGCGAGTGTGTTCACGTTTGCTCCGTTCCGACGGCGAAGCCAGTGCAAACCAGGGTGATATCCGCGTGACGAGAGCGGCAACCAGCCGAGGAGACGCGTAGCTGTGACGGGCCCTCGCTTACTGCGTACTTCGTTTTACGGTTCACGAAACTCTCTGGACTTGCGTTCCGTCCCTAGGATTTTGCGTGCTCCTAGGAGCCTGCATCAATTGATTGCCGATCGCTGCACTAAGCGACGATAATTTGGCCCTGATTTAGCCCAGGCGAGCTAGCCGGACACAGCTATACCTTGCGGAAGGATACCGCTCATCGTGGAGTC